ATACAGCTGCCATTTATATATCATGTGTTAGACTTAAAAACAATTGTTTTTTTCTGAATGATTTGACCTCCCTGAAGTCAAACCATTCTACTTTTAAGTCCCTGCACTAAAAAAAAAATCCCAATCTGGCATATAATGAATACTGATCATTTGTGCAAGTCCGTGCTATACTTCCTTTGCCTTCCCTCTGTCCATCTTTCTGCCCATCTCTAGGCTGTGAGCTTCCTGAGACAGGAAACCTTTGGTATTTCTGAGAAGCGTTAGTAATAACAATAATAATTCATACAGGGTGGCAGGTACAATCAGCAGCAGCTGATCAGGCTTTGCTTCTCTTCTTTTCTAAATCAATCTCATTAGAGCACATGTTGCCCACTCTAATGGAGATGCCAATAGATTCGCATCTCACATTTAAACTTCTGTTCAAGCAGCATACACCCTTGTCTGTGGAGAAATGGAGGCAGGATGAAAAAAGGCCTCAAAGAGCTTTAAAAATACTAAAGAGTAAGGAGAAAGAGAGAGAGAAGACAGAATCAAGACACACTGAGAAAACAGAACAGGAAGGGCGTCACCTGCAACTGTGCCAAGTCATAGCATTGGAGGTGCCAGGCAAGGAGGGTGGTTATCAGCTAATTTACTGCAGCGTGGGGCAACTCCAAATGAAGTATGAGAGAGACTAACAGCGATACTATGGCAAAACATTCAACATCTGTCATAAAACAGTAGTGAAACAGCTCAAAGTAATGTGAAATCCCATGGGTACCTCATAAATAAGATAGGTGTGGTTTAAGTAGGACAACATGTGCTGAGATGTATGACAAACTGGGAGGGAACCTCAGTCACTAGTTATATACAAATGTTGAGAGTTTTTGGGAGTAGAGTACTAGACATGTCACGATATGTTCTCAATTATATGTGTGTTAATTAGAAGTAGCTTTATGGACTGCAGAGGAGTTGCATCTGATTTATAGTGGAATAGATGCAGCCATAATCAGACACACATCAATAAGGGCAGGAGTTTTCAACAATTACTCAGATCCTCATTTATTATTCTGCAAGATTATTCATAATAGCAGGCACTCTTGCCAGATTTTTTAAATGGCTGTCAACAAAACTATGATGTGCTAAATGATTAATATGCACCAACGGAGAGCTAAATTAATTTCAGCTCTTAAAATCTGGTATATAGATTTAATAGAAATGGCCTTAAATAAGCAAATTGTTTCCAAACTACAAAATATCTTCAAGAAAAGTTTAACTTCATGAAGTATTATAATACATATCAGGAGTAGTATGGATATAAAATTATTACACTATCGAAGCTGAAAAGATATGAGGTGCAAAGATCATTTTGGAAATGGTAGGCTGCTTGTATTTAGTCTCAAATATCATCACCTTTCACTTTTATATCTCTCTAGGGCAGTGGTGGGAAAAATGTGGCCTAGGGGCCGGATGCAGCCTGCCAGGCCATTCTATCCAGCCCGCGGGGCCTCTAAAAAATTTAGAAAATAAACATTTATCTGCCCTGGGCTGCCTGTCATGCGGCCCTTGATGGCTTGCTGAAACTCAGTAAGTGGCCCTCTGCCCAAAATAATTGCCTGCCCCTGCTCTAGGGCAGTGGTTCTCAACCTTTTTGGACTTGAGACATCCCTCATTGGATCTGAGGTACCCCCCCTCCCCCTCCCCCCCATAACTTTTGTGAGCTGAGTGGCAACAAATTTAAAAAATGATGTATATTTTAGAGATTAACCACCTTGTAGAGGGGCTGTATCATGGGGTGGGGGTAGGGACAAGCCTGAGCCTGAACTTGTCTGCTTATCTCCTCCCACGTCATGGCACCCTTCAAAGGATCTGGTGGCCAACCAGGATGCTTCAACACCCTGCTTGAAAATCATCACTGAAGGGGCAAATTATTGTGTGTGTCAGCTCTCTCTCTCTCTCTTAGGTGGTCTTATTTCAGTGTTTCTGAACACTGAACACTTTTAATACAAAAGTATTATTGCCTTTTTAATGCATAAAAAAGTTACACATTTAGGGCTATTTGCTTTATTCAGAAAATTGCATATAGACACACGTACTTTTTCAGTCTAGAATAAATTATTCAATGTAAGAAATGCAGACAAATATATAACATCTCTGTATTTGTACTGACCAGTAGTCATTAAAATAAAAGATAGAATGAGATGGAATAGAATCCAGCTCCCTTACTCATAACCTTCTTGGCTACAATTTCTCATCTGTTTATTACAGCATTCACAGTGCACTAAGCATTTTGTACACACTTCAGAGGACTGGTAAAGTCGGGCATTCAAGGGAATTGTATTACTGTGTAGCAGGGCACTCTGGTCCTTTAAGGTAGGAGCCCCGCTGCGGGTGATTACTGGACAGTTAAAAGCCCTAGCTGGGAGGAGGGGGACGGGACAAGGAGCTCAAGCTGGGGGAAGGAGCAGTTTGCGAACACTTCTGCTGCTTAGAGAAAAACTAAAGGTTTGCTTTATTCATGTATTTGGTTATTTGGAACAAATATTGTTTGAGTACCCCACAGTGTAGAGGGGTGGAAGGGACCTCCAGAGGTCTTCTAGTCCAGTCACCTGCGGAGGCCAGGTTCATCCCTATACAAACAATCCTATACAAATCCATTATCTAACCGAGTAATAAAACTACAGAGTCAACCCTGACAAAACCACAAAACCCTAACACCCTAATCTGCCACAGGTAAAGCAGGGGGGCCATGATGGCCAACATCCTGCTACTCCAAGGTTGTTAAAATATGTTTCAGAGATCCAAGTGCGAGGACCATGCCCCCCTGCTACAGAGGAAGGCAAAAACCCACACAGTCCATACCAATCTGACCATAGGGTAAAATGCCTTCTTGACTCCAAATATGGTGGTTGGTCTGACCCTGAGCAAGACCCTCTAGCCAGGAATCTCCAGGTTTAAGTCCCAGTGGGAGAACTGGCACATCCCAGTCACAGTCCCCAGCCTTGGCTGAAGCCAACACCCAATGTTTCTGAAACTTTAATTAAAAAGAACAAAAAAAAAAATCCAACATAATCCTAACATAGCAGAAGGGGAAAAAAAGTTCTGTATGGTCCAGTGGGGCAACCAGAAAAGCTCAGAAGCATGGGAAATACCCATAGTTACTCCTAAATCATCCCGGACCAATGCCTGTCCAGCCTCTTCCTGAACACCTCCAATGATGGAGATTCCACAACTTTCCTAAACAGTCTATTCCACTGCTTCACTTGTCTAACAGTGAAGAAGTTTTTCCTCATATCCAACCTAAACCTACTTTGCCACAACTTCTAGCCATTGGTCCAAGTCCTACTCTGCAGCAAGACAGAATAGGTGTTCTTCCTCTTCTTTATGGCAGCACTTCAGTTATTTGAAGACTAATAGCATGCCCCCTCTCATGTCCCCTCTTAAGTGGCTTTTCCACAAACTAAATGTGCCTGCTTCCTTCAACTTCTTGGTGTATAACTTGTATGACAGAGGGAGAGGGTGACAGCGAGAAAAAGAATGGAGTATGCCTGCACTGCCCGGTCAGACTAGTAGTTGGGGAAGGAGGAAGGGCGGCAAGTCACCCATGGCTAGATTTTAGTTACCCAAAAGCAGCCTATTAAACCAGTATTTCTCAACCTGTGGGTCGTGACCCAAAAGTGGGTCGCAAGAATATATGAAAGGGCCATAAACAAACTTTAAAAATGAGAGAAAAGTGGGAAATGGTAGCTTTTCCCATGCAGGCTGTCAGAGATCCAGCCTGCAAGGGGCTACTTGGGGCCCCTCATTCCCTCCTATCCCTTTCCCCACAAAAAGGGGGTAGGGGCTGGGGCCTGGGACAGCAGGTTCGGAGTGAGGGGCACTGGGTAGGGACTGGCCATCAATGTTTACAAATGGGTCCTGGTACATAAAAGGTTGAGAACCACTGCCCAAAACAACATATTAATTTATGTCATCAAGGCGTGACCTTGAGAGTGGCCAGATTACAGAGACGGGGTGGGCAGATATGTGCCATGCAGCCACCTGGGGTGCCATGACCATCCCTGGAGGTGTACCCTAATAAACTGCTCTGAAGAGTTTTCAATCCAAGGGCAGGCACTGAAAAGAAAAACAATAGGAAATTTACATCCATAGGTAGACAACAAAAGGTATTAAGGAAGGTTTGAATACAACGTCGTGAGCTTGTAGACGACCTCCAGCAGGTCCTACTAGTGACAGGGCCTGTATGGAAGAGGGCAGGAGAATAAGGGGGATAGCTACATCAATTAGAAGAGTTGGAAACTGGTAGAGGGGGAAGGATTAGTCCGATGATACTCAAAATTTGGCAAGGGTAAACAGGGAAAGGCAGAATTATGTAGCTCAATAGCACCCAAACTTCTGGCCCTGTGGGCTGGATGAGTGGTTCATGGGTGCAATGTAGCGTGCTGGGCCGACTTTGCAAAATGGATCCAGTTGTGTACCAGTCCCACTGAGCGCCCAGATCTGACGGTGGTATCGGGTCCCGTGGGGCTCCCCTCAGGCCTGGCAACTTAGCAGTAGGGAAGTAGCAATTAGCGCTGTCACAGCTCCCATCTGCACCCGTGGGAAGCCCCATGCCCCATGGGCTGGAGGTCAAGCACCCCCAATGTAGCGCTCGGAAGGTAAGGACAAGATGTTGGAACGCGTGCAAATGGTGGATGGGGACTGGGGGGGTTTCTGAGTAAAGAGTGAGGGGCCAAGTTGTGCTACTTGACCAGCTGCACTTCCTAGGGATGGAAGCAGTGGGTGGGAGCACCCAGGGTTGTGGAAGGAAGTTCAGCCCCTGAAACCAGAGCAAGATGGAGGTGCCTTGCCCATCGCTCTGAAAGGGGCTTTGGGGAAGGCAGGAGGTGGCTGGGAGACAACCTTCTCCTCCCCGC